ATATTTTCCTTTGCTGAATGGTTTCTGTTTATTCAGTTTGATGCTGAAATCCAGCGTAGCAAGGTGTTAGCCTCAGCTCTGCAACTGACTCCATGTGCTTCTTTGATGCAAGTCACTGTACTTGTGCCTCAGTTTCCCCATCTATAAAATGGTGTTAATGATACTGACCTTCTTAGTAAAATGATTGAAGATCGGTGGAGGAAAAGTGCTAGATATTGTTATTCAATTAGAGACTTGCACTGCATCTTTTGCCATGAATTTTTGGCTTTTCTGATTTAAAAAAAAATTAAGGACACAATCATAAAGAATTTAATGTCACAAACCCCTTCTAGAGCTGGAGTTTGTAAACTGCTTTTGCCACAGTGTGAAGGAATCAATGGACAACAACTTCAAGATGAAAATATCAGCTAGTCTGTCATGTGATTGACATGTGCAGTATATCTCCCTGCCTGACTGGAAAGCCCAATAGAATAGCAAGAGTCCTGCAGATCAGATGTGAGGGGAAATGCAGTGTTAGCACTTTAAAATTGGACCATGTCAGGCTGGCAGAGTGGTGAGTGTGTGGGGGTGTTTTTTGCTTTCTTTTTGTTTGCAAGTGTGGGTTTAATACAGTATAATGCAATGGAATTCACCTTCCAGGGCAGAACATAGTTTGCAGGACAGGAAGGACTGTATAACAGCAGGACTGTCTAGCTCTGACTTAGATGATAAATGCCCCATCTCAACTTGTAAACTCAGCTACAAATCCTTTTCTTCAATGCCTCTGGTGTGCAGAGACCTGAGAGTTCTAGAATCCTCCGTGCTGCGTGAGTTTGACTTGAAGCCTTGGCCTCTGTAGGGATTGTAGCCCTGATTTCGGAGCACAGTGTAGAAACCCCAAACCTGCCCCAGAGTTGGTGAAAGGAGACCTCACAGTGCCTCTAGCATGAATTTGGGCACTCACCCGGCAGGAACAGTCCATGGGAAGATGGCAACGGTCAGGTTCTTTTCTGGTGTCGTCGGTGGTGAGGTAAGAACAGCTGCAAATGAAAGCAGACAGAGCTGTATTACCAAGCCCTTGTTTATTGATTTCCTGTTCGAGACGGCACCTGCCTTCCTGGTGGCTGGGCTATTAAAGCTCCGTGACGTGTGTACTAGCTAGGCCACTGCAAGCGGAGAAAGGTGGTGTAGTGTTGTTTTAACACCGTAGCTGTAATTCTGTATCCTGCTTCAACTGCTGATGGCCCCCAGTGAGATAATGAGACATAGATACGCATAGAGAGAGCATGAAAAGGTGGGAGTTGTCCTACCAACTCTAAGAGGCTAATTAAGTAAGAGAAAAATCTTTTGTAGTGATAATCAAGATAGCCCATTACAGACAGTTGGACAAGAGGTGTGAGAATACTTAACATGGGGAAATAGATTCAATGTTTGAGCCATTACTTGTGGCAGTGAGTTCCACGGGTTAATTACATTCCCCTCTTATCAGACATAGATTTGTTGCCTTTAAAATGCATTGGCTAGCCCAGGAGTTGGCAACCTTTCAGAAGTGATGTGCCGAGTCTTCATTTATTCGCTCTAATTTAAGGTTTCGCGTGCCAGTAATACATTGTAATGTTTTTAGAAGGTCTCTTTCTATAAGTCTATAATATATAACTAAACTATTGTTATATCTAAAGTAAATAAGGTTTAAAATTTAAAATTAAAATTAAATTAAAATGCAGAGCTCCCCGGACTGTCGGCCAGGACCCAGGCAGTGTGAGTGCCACTGAAAATCAGCTCATGTGCCGCCTTCGGCACACATGCCATAGGTTGCCCCTGGGCTAGCCCCTTGTTCTGCTGATGATGTTGCTGTATCTTTTTTCCTCTTTGCTGTATCTTGGAGCTCTGGAGTATTTCATTATGGTCCACTTCTCAGCCACTGCTCACGGAATAGGGATAGCAATGGAAAGCCAGAGAAGCTTTCATTGAGGGAAAAGATACTATGGTGAAAGGAAATTCCTGCAGACAGGCCCTGGCTTCTCCTCCCTTTCCCTCTGCACCTACATCTCAGTCCATGTTCTTCTCCACTCCATTCTGACACCCACTGGCGGAGATTGCACCGATCGCTGTAGGACTGAATGACCGCCTTTATTTATTTTATAACCTACCTAACATAGACCTCAGGAATATCTCGGCCCCTACCTTCTCAGGGGATGACTTGAACAATTCTCAGTGTGAGACTAGCTAATAACAAATAGTGAAGAATTCCTGTAAAATGTGACTTTTGGGACTAACAAGCATCTCTGCTAAAAGTCATGAAACTTGTTTAGGATTGATAACTTTTGTCATAAGTATCCAGGTGGCAGCCAAATATTCATGAATAATTCATTCATAGCAAAGTCTCTTTTTCCGTCCCCTTACTTTGCACAAATATTTGCAAATCAGTGGCATTTAAAACTACTCACTCATCTCACCTCCATCCTACCTCTCTGGGCTGGTCTTGATCCTGGGTCTAACTGTTCATCTGATCCCGCAGTCCTCACTCAGGCAGACTGCATGAATTTCAATGGGAGTTTTGCCCGAGTAAGAACTGGCAGATGTAATGTGAGGCTGCATCCTCCAGCACTAATTCCCTCTCCTGCAAGAGGGACGGGGTGTGTGTGGGGGGAAATCAGATAGTTGCGTGGGAAAACCTAGGAAACAAGTGGGAGTTTCGCAAGGTTGTGAAGGGGGTGACAGAAGATTAGCAGAGTTGGATAGTTCATGTCTGGATAAGACCCTTCTATTCGCCAAATACGTGCCCTTGGTCAAGACAAGACAAGAGACACTTGTGTCCCAGGGAGCCCCTCAATGCCATCTGGCACAGGGAACCCCAGGACATAATTCATGTCAGATCTGACACACTCATTGCCCCAACACACTGTTGCCAGAATCTGTCTCTGAACGGTGTCATATATGGTATCCTATGCAAACTGGTAACAAGCTGCTCGTTAATATTATTGCGTGCTGGAGGTATGGACAGTGTATAAAGAACTATAGACGTGCTGGAAAATATGTTCTTAAAAGGTGGTTTGCAACCCGTGCATAAGCCCAGCCTGTTCCAGACAAAGGAATGTTGTTTGTGTCTCCAATCTGAACTAAGCTAGGTGGTACCTCAGAGGACAATGGAAAGTACATCTACACATAAGGTAAACAATGCACCATCAAGCTGAATGATGGGCTGGGGGGGCAGGGAGTGGAGACAGCTTAACAATCATGAGTGTGGATGGAGCCTGCACCCCAGGGACGCCTTCCTACCACTTGAAACAGAGACTATAGACTTTGGGAAATATAAGCAGAAAGGCATTTTGGAATCCATCACCCATGGGACACAAGAGGCCAGAGCTCTGGTAATCGGACAAAGGTGAATCCTTCAGCCAAGGGGGTTGATGTCTCTGGGAACTGACTATAGGTGAGAAACCTGCTTAGACAAAGATTGTAACTTGCTGAATTATGTTTCAGTCACTAGAAAGCGTGTTTTTGGTTTGTTTGACTTGTGTCTTCTGTTCTTCCTTATATCACCTACATATCTGTTCTTTGTTAACAAAGCTACTCTGGTTTTATTACAAAGAAGGGCTGTGTATCGAACTGAGAGGTGAAGTCCTCAGCTAAACTAACAGGCTGGCGTGTGTTCTGTCCCTTTGGAACCAGCAAACGCAATAACTGTTTGGTGAGTGTCCAGTGAGAGGGCCTGGCAGCCACTGGGGAGCGCAGAGCCCGCCCTGGGGGTCTCAGTAGCGGGGTGATTAGCCGCTGGCCGACGGGGGCACTGCGGGGCTGGGCAGGAGCCGGGCGGCGCGGAGCAAAGGGCGCTGCGGGG